GTATGAGCCACAGAACATGAAATTCATAACTGCTGTTTAAATGCTTAAAGATTGAAGAACAAGGGTATGTTTAGGGCTGCATATAAAGGAGGTGACTGGAATTATAAAACTACTTTGCTCCTAAATATCCACTTTATCTGAATGTATTAATTAGATTTCCTGGTTTTCAGGGTTATGTCTCTAAAATTAAGAGATGCAACTGCTCAGCCTTCACGTTGGGCTGTGATATGTGGTAGGGAGTAGCTTTGGGGTAGTTGTTGTCCTATTCTAGCCCAGTCTTCTCTTTTCAGTTCACGAATCTTGCTCCTTTAACTGTTTTATATTATTAACCCAATAAGGACTTTTTTGTTTAATAAAAATTTTCAGGGGCTGGAGAGGTGGCTCCACGATAAAGATCACTGGCTGCTCTTGCCCTGGACCAGCACCCACATGGTGGTTCACAACCATCTGTAACTCCAATTTCAAGGTATCTGATGCCCTCTTCTGGCGTCCACAATCAGTGCATGCATGGGTGCACAAACATACATTCAGACAGAACACCAATGCACATAAAATAAAGATAAATAAATTTTCAAAACAACTAAAGAAAAAAAATCAGAAATCACCTCAGAAAATGAGAAATTATCTCAGTTAGAAAAATATTTGCCTTGAACCTGAGCCTTGAGGCTCTGGCACCTTCTGCAGAACCCATGTAATTCTACACTGTGAAGGTGGAAATGGGCAGATCCCACTTGGCCAATTCCAGGCCAGTAAGAGACCCTGTTTCAGCAAACAAACAAATAAACAAACTGATTGTGGTCAGCAACTGAAGAATGACCTGAGATTGTTCTCTGCCTCCTATTTGTATGATTCTGTGCACCCACACATGAAACACAAACACACAAGCACTGAGGAGAGCTTGGAAAGTTTGAAACCATCCCATTTGACTTCTGTGTCCCACATAGAACATGGCATTTGACAATATAGATCTTTGGATATTTAACTCACCAGCCTGCAAGCTACGGCCACATCCAGATCCACAAATACAGCAGTACCTTTTGTAGAGAGGAAGATTCGCTTATAGGAAGAAAAGAGAAGCATGCAACTCATTAGCTTTGCAGGAAAATTAGTTGAGGCAGAAGCTAGTGGAATTACATCATAGTTACCCTACAAATTTCTAAACCCCACCAAAATTCTATGCTACAAGCTGAGATAATCTAGTGAAAAAAAAGAGCCTTAGTTAGCTCTGTAACGAACCTGTCACTATCCTGGGATCCCTAGATGTTTATTGCGAACATGACTATTCTGACACGTCATAGCCATGCATGTATCAATAGGAAACAAAGAGCATGGAGGAAAAAAACAACAGAAAGAACAGGATGGGCCGTGTGGCTGTCCTCTAAGTCATGATTTGGCAGCACTTCTTGAGACTTCCCAGGAAGAATCGGAAGATCCTTGTGAGTGAAAACTCTTACAGATAATGGGGGTTCTATTCAGCTAGTGTTATGGTTTCAGTCTGAATGACTCTTCATGGCCTGGGTGTTGAACATGGAGTCCCAAGCTGATGGTTCTAGTCTGGGAGGGTCTGGAAACTTTAGGACATGCAGTGTAGCTGAAGGAAGTCAGTCCTTATTGATAACTTGTTACTTCCCTCTTCTTCCCCTTTCTCTGCTTTCTGCCTACCCTGGAATCAGCTGTTTTCTGCCTTGGCTTCCCCGAAGGAGTGAAGCCTCTGAAATTGCAAATAAAGGATAATTCCTTAATTTTACACTTTTTTTTTCCTGCGGTATTGTAGTCTCAGATGTGCCAACATAACTAAGACAGCTAGGCAGGCTGTCTTTATCCATGATCTGGCTGCCTCCAGATAAAGAAATGCTTTAGAAAGTTTCCTTGATCCAGAAGGAACCATGCATTCATACAAATTCCATTGCACTTACTCTTACTACTTAAGGAGGAGGATAACTTCCAGCGGAAGGAGTGATCCACCTGAATAAGCATTTCCACGGTGCTAGTTTTATACCTGAACTGGAGTTCTGGTCTTGTTCCCAGCCTCACCTCTGACTCAACATTGTGAAACTAAGAAATCATTTAGCTTCTTAGGACCTCAGAATCTAGCTTCTGTGAAAGAGGATAATGGGCAAAGCTCTCCTGCCTCACTGACGTGTTGTGAGGTGTAATTGGGTAATGTTTGCAGAACTCTTTGAACTCTACTAATTAAAGCAGTGTGTAAACAGCTTCCTTTTATCAGAGTGCCTGGACTGAGCCGTTTCATAAAGGTTTGAAGATGGCTCTGATAGGAGGACCTATATGGAAGGGAGTTTAGTGTGTGTGTGTGTGTGTGTGTGTGTGTGTGTGTGTGTGTGTGTGTGAACACAGCTCTGACCCTGTCATATTGGGTTCTAAAACTACCCAGTTAGAACTGTGTTTAATAAGATCTAACTTTATGCTTTATCTATGCTTTAGACAAAGGCACATTTGCACTTAACCAGTGGAAAAGTCTATGCTTTATACTAAGGAACTTAGCTCCTAAAGTGTGGAGTGATGCCTTCAGCTTTAGATATTGTTACCCTACCTTATTAAATACAGTTTGCTTAAACAATTGTGGTGAATTGTTTTATTTTTCATGTGAAGAATTATACAGTGGCAAATTATAGCACCTGCTTAGACAGCTATCGTTCTCAAATTAGTATTATTCTGTGTAACCATCCACCAATGGTCAATCAGAAGTCATCATTCCGAACATATTATGTGAATAGGAAACCCTATACTTTATTATGAAACTATTCCATTTTAATATGATTATCTAAGTTAAATTAAAAATTCTAAAGTAATAATAAATCTTTTCTTCTGCCAGAAATAAATTCATAGAGGGATTTTAGCTTGTGGGATAAACAATGGATTGCTTCCATAGCCTGCTATGAGCGTTTTTATTTTTTAAGATTTATTTATTTATTATGTATCCAGTTTTCACCCTGCAGGCCAGAAGAGCACACCAGGTCTCACTGTAGATGGTTGTGAGCCACCATGCTGGTGCTGGGAATTGAGCTCAGGGCCTCTGGAAGAGCAGCCAGTGCTCTTAACTGCTGAGCCGTCTCTCCAGCCCCCTTTATTTGTTTCTTTTTTAAATTTCAGTTTATTTACTTTACTTCCCAGAGGTGCTGCCTTCCTCCTCTCCTCCCAGTCCTGACCTCTTCCCTCCTTTCCCATTACTCTTTCCCTTTCCCCCCTGTATTAGCCTTCCCCAGTACATCAAATCACTTCAGCATATCTTCATCCCCTAAGGCCAGGACAAGGCAGCCCTGCCAGGGGGAAGTGATCTAAAAGCAGGCAATAGAGTCCATATTAGAAACATCCCCTCCCCCCCACACACTCTGATAAGATTGTAGGTATATAGCAACTCAATTTCCCATTTGAATAAATGACTCAGAATTTTGGTCACTGGAAGCCTAGTTAACTGTTTTATTGGAAATGTAGACAACTAATAAGAGAATTCTGAAAACTCCAGAATATCAAGGTGGGAATTGTCAGCCGCAAGTGTTTCTGTGAAATCCAGCTGCTGCACCATACTTGGATGGCTTCTTGTTTTCTGAAGTGGGTGTTCTTTTGAATCTTCATCAGCATGATAAGAAAGACATTGCCGGGGAACTCCAGTCTTTAGATACTGACTTCTGACTGGTAGAGCATGTATGGGAGCACACCTTAATAGATTCCTGGGCGTAGCATCGCGTATTGTTATCTGCAGAAGATCATTAGGAATTCTTTTACTGTCAAGATAACAAAAGGCAGATCTTTGACTGCATAGCTCCAGGGAGCAAATGATAAAATTTAGGTTTGTTACTATAAGGAAATGGGCTAACCTGTCTATCCATGGCTCTAAGATCCCTACACAGTGGGCATCTAACAGGAAAGGTAGATGGTTTAAGAATCAGTCTGTCTGTTCAGCTTTTGGGTTAAATGAGTACCCTAAATCCAAGATAGAGGATTAAAGAGGTTAATAAGAATGCCTATGCATGTAGTGCCCCCCCCCACCGCAGTTTTAAAAGCTCTCTGGCATGCCTTCGTAATCCCTAGTCAGACTTCCTTTGGACACAAAGGTCGGACTCTTAAATGAACGTCACGTTAGCTGTGATGCAGTGGCAGCCACCCTAGGTCCTAGTCTCACCCCAAGCATCAGCTGCAGCCATGAGTGAGCCGCTCTGGACCCACACTTGTCATGTCTTCAGATGACCTGGTCAGAATTTACCTGACTCTGGTTACATAAACATCTAAGTCTGGAGCATCCAGCTGAATTCAGTCAACACACAAAGTAAGACATAATAATAGATTGCTATGTTAATGTAATGTTTAGAGCTATCTCAGTAACTGCTCACAAGGCAAAGCAAAACAAAACAACAACAACAAAACCCATAATGTCTTCGAGCGTTAGCCAGTACTGCTACAACAAAATTTGAAAATAGTTTGAGATCACAGACAGTGGCTTATTATCTCTACAGATCTTTCTTTTTAACCAGAATGGAGTAAGAGTGAGGACAACTACTGTAGCTTGCTTGTTTCAGAGCCTATGCAGACGGGGGAACTAAGGGAAACAAGAACACAACACCAGGTGATGTTTCTGTTTGGAGATGGTGACATGGCATCACAGTGTTGCTTCTGCCACACGGGAGAGGTGTGGTGATCACCGTTTTCCTTGCTCCTTCGATTTCCCTCTTTCCAATTTCCAAGTTTCTTTCCTCCGACTCTGAAACAGTGGGAGCCTATGTCACTTCTGTGACTTTGTGGTAAACACAAGGATGGTACTCAGACCGGTGCTCCAGGTAAGCAATCTCTGAGGAGAGAGGACAGCTCCAGGCCAGTTGCTCCTCAAAAGCCCGATGTACTTCCTCAGTTGTCTTGTCCTTCCGCCGGATGATCAATAATCAGACTGAAGATGGTCTCTTACTTGCAAAGGGTATACTTATATACTCTAAAAACACGGAAAAAAGTGTAAGGATTTAAGTGTGTTACAACTGTTTTGTTCACAGGAATCCCCAGGCTGATTACGGCTGACATGGTTAGAGAAGGCGCAGCAGTAATTGATGTGGGTATCAACTATATCCAAGATGCTATGACAGGAAAGACAAAACTAGTAGGAGATGTGGACTTTGAAGGTAAGAGCAAACCTCTTGAGGAGTGAAGGGGAAGCCCAATTCCAACCTTTGTGCTTTGAGAAAGAAACTTTCCCTGTGCAGAGGACAGTATTATTACTCATCACCGTTCCCTCTGAGGGAAGACAACCACATTTCCATAACCCTCTCTACTTCCTCCCTCCCTCATCCTCTTCCCTTTTATGCTCTCACCCTTCCAGCTGTGCCATTCGTTTTTCTGTATATTTGTTTTCTGAGATTGAACCTAAGGCTTTGAACATGCCAGGCAAGGGGCAAGCCCTCTACCAATGAGCTGTACCCTAGGCTCTGTTTTTAAAGAGGGGGGGGGAGCGGGGGAGATGTTCACTAGGTTTCCCAGGCTGGCCTTGAATTTTCTCCTGCCTGCCAGGTAGTTGAGACTGCAGAACTGTTGTGCTAGGCTTGGCAATATTTGCTATTAAGATTCAATTTCTTGAATATTTTTAATGAAACAATTTATCTAGCTGATTGTAGACTTATATATCATTTTTTTATTACATGTATTCATGTAGAGACAGGAGGCCTATAGCTCTTCATTGCTGGGTGGAGGCTTATAAAATTTCCCATATCCAAAGTGACATGTTGATTGGCGTAGATAGGTAGATCCTGTTCAGGCAATCGTGTTGTTGAGATTTAATGGGGACAAAACATTGTCAAACAGCAGGGATCCTGGTCCTCTGGCCCTTATGACCTTTCCACTCCTCTCCCCTTTCTAAGATGTCACCTGCACCTTAGGTATAGGTGTTGTATTGTAGGTGTTCCAACCGGGGCTGTAACCCCTACAGTTACTTATTCTCCATATGTCAATCACTTGTAGATCTCTGTAGTAACCTCTGTCAGCTGCAAAAACTGTTTCTTTAATGAGGGGTGAGAATTATGTGTTTCTGAGGGCCTGAAGGTAAGTGTTTAGAATACAATTAGAAAGTATATTGCTTTAGGAAAATGGCAGTAGTAGCTTCTCTTCTAGGGTCTATGACCACTCCAGCTACATATAGGTGACTAGATGTATAGTCTCAGACATGAACTTCATCCTAGTGAATAGACCCTAAGTCCATACAGCTGTTGGTTGTCCTCAAGATAGGAGTGCCGCTATTGCACTATTGAGGTTAGTTAATGGTGGACAGATCATTGTGGTTCCTAAGCTTTACAGGTGGGCAGGACTATTTTCTTTTCTTTCCCTTGATACCTTGCATAACACCTTTGGATACTATCAGAGTTAATCTTCAGGGAGCAGGCTTCCACAACTGTTCCAGGTCTATTCCTCTAAGTCCTGTGTCTGAAGTGTGGTATCTTAAGCAGCAGGAGCCCACTTTCTAGTTCTTAGAGGCAACCAAGGCTAATGGAAATAGCTCTTATGTTTTTGGAGTCTCTTGGGCCTCCCTGACCAACAACTCAAAGGGAGGTTTGTCATGCCTGGTAGTGGAGCTTTTGTTAGCTATTTCTCTGTCTTTTTCGGGGGGTGGGGGGACATTATCACCATATGTGCTGCAATTCCACTTACACTATAAATATATATGCACATTCATATATTATATACATATATTATTTCATGGAATCTTATAAAATAATGTCTTCCTATGGCCTTTTTCAAACATCTTTATTGTCATTTATCTCTCCCTCTAAATTACCTTCCCTCCCTTCTCCCCAGCTTGAGTAGCCCCTTGCATTTTCCTTTCTTCTGCATAGTACTTGCGTCCTAGTTCACTCTTAGAGTGAGAGTCATCTTACAGTACCTTTGCCAACTCGAACTCAGTTTTAGATCTAGGCGATTGTCTGGATAATTCAAGTTAGTGTTCTTCCTTCTTGTTTGAAAGAGGATGAAGAAGAGAAGCTGGCTAAGTTTGCATCAGTGAAAGATTTAAGGCAGCCAGCACGGGGCAGTGATAAGCTCCCGCCTCACAGCTCCGCTCTACAGGAGACAGCTGAGCCCTAGACACATGCGTTTCAAGCAGTCTGACTCCAAACTCCCTTCCAGCTCTTTGTCCTGTTCCTTCCTACACTGATGTCTCCAGATCAGTGGTCGTGTTAGATGCATGAACACCCTAACGAGGGGAGGTGCTATCACATTGAAAATATTTTAGGAATGATACTGATCTTCTAAGCTTCCACGATGGCCCAGCCAAAGTTCAATCTCTAGGATCCGTACAGTGGAAAGAGAACTGACTCCCACAATTGTCCTCTGGCTTACTCGTGTGTGCATGTGTGTGTGCATGTATACACATGCATATATGTGTGAATACACACAAACAATAAATGTAACAAAACACTAAAAATAAATGCCTGGTCATTATGATCAATGCAGCAGAACTTCTTGAAGCACTTATCAGTTACACAATGTGACTTTAAGATTTGGATTTTTTTATGTTTATGGATGTTTTGCCTGCATATATGTTTTGTCTATGCATTACATGCATGTCTGGAGCCCAGGAAGGCCAGAGAGGGAGTCTGATCCCCTGGAACTAGAGTTATAGACAGTTGTCTAGATGAATGTTAGAAACTGAACCCGGACTTTCTGAAAGAATACCCAGGCTCTTAACCACCGAGCCAGCTGTCTAGCTCCTAAAAATATATATTTTAAACTTTTATTTGGAGCTTGATCATCAGGGACTAGATCTAGATTAAGCAATTTAAGCCTGATGCTTAGGGAAAGAAAAACAGACGGCCAAATGTGTGCAGTAATATGGTCTAGGGGCAGAATGTTAAATGGGAACAAGCAGAGATGTAGCTTGTGAAAGAATATACCACCATCCACATGGCTCTAATTGCTAGGAACCACAGAACAGCTTAAATCTAGTATGTCAGCACTGATTCTCTACATAAATGTGCCTGCGTGTCTGCATATGTGTGTGCTGAGTGTACATGCTGAAATGCTTATAAAAAGACATACAGAATACTAGCAGCCTAGGAATTAACTCCCAGTATCAACAGATAGAGCTACATGACAATAATTTTCTGTACAGCGAAGAAGACAGCACAGTGAACAAACAGTCCACAGAATGGGAGAGAAATCTTTGCCAGCTACACTTCAGACAAAGTGCTAATATCCAGAATTTACAAAATATTGTGGAAGTCAATTACCACGTGAATAAAACTGCCAATTAAAAATTAGGCACGGGAACTAAATAGACAGTTTCTAAAAAAGAAATACAAATAGGCAGTAACCCTTTTTTAAAATATCCTTAGCCATCGAGGAAATACATCTTAAAACTATTTTGAACTACCATCTCACCTCCATCAGGGTGGCCGTCAGCAAATATACACCATTCAATTATCTGTTCATCAGCTGATGAACAAATAGGTTGACTCAACCATTGCAAAAGCAATTGAAGCAGCAAGGATCCATATATCCATATATATATATATTTAAAGAGAGAGGGAGAAGGAGACAGTCTGAAAACTTTAAAACTTAACATTTGTGGGACCTGTTTATGCTTTACATGACATGGTAGAATCAAGTTGTAGGTCTGTGTGTTTAAGTAGATGATGGCATAAAGGACATTGTTAAATACAAATGCAAGAGGAAAGCAAGAGCGTTGGGCTGAGAACTGGCGAGGCTGCTTTAAATCTAGTGCTATCACCTAAGAGTCTGCACCCTCTTTGTATTTTAGTTCCACAATGATTACAGCAGTCCTCCCTCCCGCCCCACCCAACCCCCTTTCCCAGAAGTCTGCTTCAGTAGCAGGGTCAATCAGGAAAACACCATGGTATTATCTCATTTCAAACAAAAAGCATGAGCTTAACACAAATACTGTGGTTTGGGGTTTTTTGTTCACTTGCTTTCATGAGGTTGTATCTTACTATATAGCCTTGGCTTGCCTGGAACTCCTTATATAGACAGGCAGGACCTTTAAATTCTCAGAGATCTGCCTGCCTCTGCCTCACGAGGGGTTAAAGGCATGTCCCACCATGCTTGGCTCAGTAAGATATTTTGAAAGAGGATATATATTCACGAAATTAATAGTATGGTGTTTTAATTATCTTATCTCTTATTTTCTGTGCCCAATTTATCACAAGTACATATGTAAAGGCGCGAGCCTTGTGTGCTATCCACAGTTCTGAACACCCACTAGAGGCCTTTGAATAAGCCCTCCATGGGCAGTGGGAACTACATTTAGGGTCTTGGACATTCAGCAGAGTACTGCTAAATGACCCTGTAAAAACACAGAAACTTTTAGAAGAAGGCTCAAAGATCAGAATACTCTGATTCTGTCTTAAAATACATGTATGAGGTTTTTTTACATTTTTCCCTGCCACTCTGCTGGTTCACTGATCTGGAGCACTAAGCGTGAGCTAGACTGTAAGGAAGGCCTTTTCAGTTGGGCGGAGACTCATCCACCCAGACAATAGGCTGTGACATGTTGCTCTTCAGGTTGTTCCTCAGGGCTTAACCTGAGGTGAGGCATGGCTCCCTGCCTCCCCCACCCCCATTGAGGGGGAGGGACCTTACCATGGGTCATACCACAATCTCACAGGTAGCATTTGTCTGCAATTTGCCACAGGGAAAGCGTGACTGCTTTGTGAGTATCTGTGAAAGTTTCATTACAACTTCTGCGAAGATGAACAAAGCAGATGTGGGTAGATTCAAATGTAGGAGAAAATTTGTCTTGCAAAGAAGCCTGGCTCATTAATGCAGGAACTCAGGCCATGCATGGAGAGTAGATTGCGCTGGTGGGAATGAATTTTCAATGTAAATGAACACAGTAGTTCTAAGGGACAGGGTAGCAGCGTCCTGAAGGGAGTCATGCTGTTTGACAACTATGGCACTAAAAGAACTCCCATGATGTCATGACATCAAAAGGGCAAAGGGTAAACTGTTGAAAGCCAGTGGAAACTGCAGAAGGAGGGGAAATCTGATGAGGTGCTGGGTAGTTGCTTTCTCCATGTAGGAAATGGTGGACCAGAAAACAGGGGCCAGATTTTCCTCCATAGAGTTCCATAAAGGAAAAAAAAAAAAAATTAAATCTCAATGTTTCTGCTTTAAACAG